TGTCTCCTTCTTCTTTTGTTTGTTTTATCTGTCTCCTTCTTCTTTTGTTTGTTTTATCTGTCTCTTCTTTTGTTTATCTGTCTCCTTCGCCTCTTCTTTTTCTTCTTCGTTTGTTTGTTTTATCTGTCTCTTCTTTTTGTTCTTCTTTTGTTTGTTTTATTTATTTTATTTGTCTCTTCTTTGTTTGTTTTATTTATTTTATTTTATGTTTTAGTGTCTAGGGTTTAGGGTTTAGGGTTTAGGGTTTAGGGTTTAGGGTTTAGGGTTTAGGGTTTGCGTTTAGGACGGCTTCGACAGACCCTGACGTGTTGAATAGGAAGTGCGTCTGGGCCTTAGAGAGAAGATCTTACTGCCGCAGCTTAATGCAGCTGCTGCTGCAGCAATCTAATAAAGCTGCTGCTTTTGCTGCTATTGCGAACTGTCTCCCTCAATGCGGTTAGCTGCTGCTGCTGCTGCTGCTGCTGCTGCTGCTGCTGCTGCTCTTGTTGCCATTGTTGTTGTTGTTGCTGCTGCTGCTGCTCTTGTTGCTGTTGTTGTTGTTGCTGCTGTTGCTGCTCTTGTTGCTGTTGTTGTTGCTGCTGCTGCTCATGCTGTTGTTGCTGTTGCTGCTGCTCTTGCTCCAGCTGCGTCTGTCTCTGCTGCTCCCCGTGAGGCTGCTGCTGATATATTCATCTTGCTGTTGTGCTGCAGCTGCTATTGCTGCTGCTGCTGCTATTGCTGCTACTGCTGCTATTTATACTACTGCTGTTGCTGCTCTAATTGCTGTTGCGTCTGCTGCTAATATTGTCATTGCTCTTATCGTACTGATTTCCCTTTGTTGCTGCTGTTGCTGCTGCTGCTGCTGCTGCTGCTGCAGTTCATTTGTTATGTCTACCAGGCCCTTACACCCTCTTCGTTCCTGTGGATGAGGGTTTTGCTGCTACATTTGCTGCCGCAACTCTATCTAAGTTTGCTGCTAGGCTGCAGCTGGTTGCTGCTGCTGATGATGCTGCTGCTACTGCGCTGCACTGCGTCCCCTTCCCGACCTTCCAGCAGCACATGCAGCAAGAAGAGCTGCTGCAGCTGCTGCAGCAGCAGCAGCAGCTACCACCTGCAGCAGCAGCAGCAGCAGCAGAAGCAGCAGCAGAACGTCTAGCCCTCTTCATTAAGGCACATCTTATCGAAGGAGAGTACACCCTAAAGAAACTCCTCACCCATGTAACTTGCTGCTGCTGCTGCTGCTGCTGCTGCTGTTGCTGCTGTTGGTGCTACTGCTGCTACTGCTGCTATTGCTGCTGTTGCTGCTGCTGCTGTTGGTGCTTTTGCCGCTTCTGCTTTTTGTGCTGCTGTTTCTGCTATTGCTGCTGCTGCTGCTGCTGCTGCTGCTGCTGTGAAGAAAGAAGCGTTTGGTGTGGAGAGTTGAGTTGTGTGCTGTTGTATATACAGCAGAGTTGCTGCAAGTTGCTGCTGCTGCTGCTGCTGCTGTTTGTCTCCTTTGTGCTGTTTGTTCAGCGGGGAGAGCCTGGTGCTGCTTCGACAGCAGCAGGTGCAGCAGCTGCAGCAGCAGCAGCAGGTGCAGCAGCAACTCCTGCTGCTGCTGCTGCTGCTGCTGGTTTGCGCGTGCTGCTGCAGGGGGCGGGAGAAGGGGGGTTCTCCTTAGGGGTCTCTTTAGGAGGAGACGAAATTAATATATTTAGACAGCTGTCTCCTGATGCTGCTGCTGCTACGCTGCTCATCGGCAGCAGCAACCTGCCTTCCCTCCCGCAGCAGCAGCAGCAGCAGCAGCACCACCACCACCACCACCAAGAGCAGCAACAGCACCACCAACAGCAGCAACACCAGCACCAGCAGCAACAGCAGCAGCAGCAGCAGCAACAGCAGCAGCAGCAACAGCAGCAGCAGCAGCAGCAGCAGCAGCGGCAGCAAGCGCTAGGACGAGGTTTATTTCGGGTGTACGTTGAGGGGTCTGAGTTGCTGCTGGGCGATTTGAGAGCAGCAAACGGCGTCATTCATCTTATCGACAAACCTTTAATCCCGAGCACCTTAAGAAAAGTTTAATTATAATAATAATAATAATAATAATAATAATAATAATAATAATAATAATAATAATAATAATAATGTGTTTGATGGGGTGTCTCCTTCTGTCTTTTGTTTGTCTCCTTTTGTCTTCTTTTCTTTTTTTTATTTTTCTGCGTTTTTATGTCTCTTTCTTTTTTTTGTTTATTTCTGTCTCTCTTTTTTATTTTTATTTCTTTAGCTGTCTCTCTTTGTCTTCTTCTGTCTCTCTGTCTCTCTCTCTTTATTTTTATTTATGTGTCTCTCTCTTTATTTTATATCTCTGTCTTCGTCTTAATTTATTTTTATTTCATAGTCTCTCTCTGTCTCTGTTTATTAAATGCTCTGCAGCCCTAACTTTTCTCTATCTTATCTCTTGCTGCTGCTGCACCCCACACCCAGGGGCCTCCCCAGTTAGCTAGCTAGCCAGCTAGCTAGCTAGCCAGCTAGCTAGCTAGCTAGC